TGAGCAATGGCATTTGGTTGGTTTCAAAAGTTTGGAATGGGGCCAGTGACCAAAAGTATATGCCATTTGCGCTTCGTATGTTTTACACGACGATCACTTTTAATGAATGAGTATGTAATCCATACAGATAACAGTTTTCAAGCACACCAAAGCAATCCTGCTGTAGACATGACCTCCTTCAACTGGTTGAAATGAAGTCTCCTGCACCAGTACTGAAGTGAGATGGGCATGAGGTTATAATAATAACGACGATAGTAATACTGTGCATTTTAAAATGCGTCAAATTCAACGATACAGCATTTCAGGGCGCTACTTAATCACCGCCGCCAGTGGTTGGGTGTGTGTTCATTTTCACTTTCAGCTCCCTGGGGAGTGTTCCACGTAAGCTGCCTGTGCAGCGCTATAATGTTAGCTGTCACCACCTCATCCTGCCGGGTACCCATTTACCGCTGGGTGGACAAAGGTGTATTTCGAGCCTGTAGCCTACGGAGACTGTACATGTAAAATGTGCTTCAGTGGTAGGCACCAGTACTGTTGTGACTGACATCTGTACAACGTTGTGTCTGCTCTCTGCAATACGTGGTTGTGTCTGGACTCAGGAAAGAGTTGTGTCTGTCCCCCAGAAGCTGGGATTGGCTGCTGCTGCAGGAGAACCCGCTCCACGCGGTGACCCCTCCTCTACGCGCTCCTGTGTTTACCGAGTCGGGCTGCTACATAATTGCACCCTTCAGAGCTACAAAAACTACTTTAAAAGAAAATCGATAGTTGCTAATACTTGAATAAAATAAAGATCCCGTACTGGCAAAACTGAGAGTGATTCATTTCAAATTCAAACTCTGATTTCAACTGGCATAATACCGATGTTAAAACAGCCCCCTTGTTGCAAATGTTAGCTCACAGAACTAACGTATAATTTTACATTGATTAGAGAATTGAGTGGCTAAAGTTATTAACACCACAAATCCCATTCTTACATCCAGACTTTGTAGGGTGTTACTGTTGGGCTGAAGCTTGGAAGTGGTTATAGGGATTGACCAGCCAAAGCACATGGGTTGTGTTTGGTCTGACAAAGACAGTACATTTGTATTGATGAAGAGGGTAGGAGATCAGAGGCTGAGAAACAATAGGGCAGGCGGAGTTGCCGAGATGAGAGCTTGAGGTAACAGGGATTACCTAATCCACAAGGAGGACAGAGAGTTGAGAAAGACTAACACTGACACGGGAACCACTTTCAAACAATAGTACTGTAGACACAGACGTATGTTATCAAACGCCGAGACGCAAGTGAGGAGGATTTCTCCAATAGGGAAACATATACATACTGCGTTATATAAGACCATCTCGTTCTTCACAGTTAGAACAATAACAATAACCATTTATTACACTAAACAAATATTAAATTCCAAATATTTATTACTCTTTACCTATTTCATATTTTTTTTATCTTTTTAATTCAGCCCCCCATTCAAATTTCCCTTAATACTCATTTGTTGTTTGTTTTGGGGGTTTTTTTTGTTTTTTTTGGTCTTTTTGTCTTTTTTTGTTGGTTTTGGGGGTGTTTTTGGTTGGTTTTGTTTGTTTGTTGTTTTGTTTTGTTTTTGTTAGGTTTTGGTTTTTATTGTTGTTCTTTTCTTTTTTTTTGGGGGGGGGGGGGGGGGGGGGGGGAGAGGTAGTAACACCACTCTCTCAAAATTTCCATTTTTTTCCCCCTCATTTCTTAATAAGTGTACTTACCCCGTCGCCGAAATGCCTTAGTTGTGCGTGCGACGTTAAATAAAGCAAATAACAACAACAACGTTCTTCACAGTTGAGGTCACATCTACATGTTGATAGTTACAAACATATCATCCATGTGGTCTTTTTAAAGCCTGGAAACGTATGTCATTCGTATTTTTGTCTGTTCTCCATTCATATATACATCAGAATTAGATGCGTGTCAAATCATATCCATTTCAAATCCTTTGTGCAATTTTAAAAACTAAAACATTAAATTGCGTTTTAATGACAAATGTGTCGATATGGCTTTTCAGGTCATGAATATGTATTAAGAGATATACAAATGAGAACGACAAGACAGTTGTAACTGATGTTGTCTCGGTGAGTTCAATGTAGGGAGTCCTGTCTACTGAGAGATGGGTATGACCAACTCTGTATTGATTGCATATGGCAGATGCTTCAGTGCTATACACCTGACACCGTCAGCTGTAACTATAGCTGTGTGTCGCCAGGCCGAGTCTAATCTGGACGTTAATCCACGTTCATCTGACGAAGGACACATACCCTAGAACCGTCTTCAGGCGGTACACTGTGCTGGCGTCAGACTCCAACAACACAGACAGATAAAGTGAACAGACCGTCATCAATCGTAAAGATCAAACATGTTTCTTTACGATGGGCAATGTTAGATTCAACAGAAACAATCAGTCGACAAAGGGTCACCATCAATTGTTACCATAATCTGACATGTAAACACATTAAACAAGTGTTAGTTTTAGCATTGATCAACACTTAACCCTGTATATATCTGTCTCCGTCCGTAACTCTAAAGGGTATGTGACAGTTTTGACAATGACACAAATTATTAACCTGTCATAGTTTATGTAAATTACATCTTTAGAATATTCAGTAGATAATATGATAATGTATTAAAATCACACATATTTACAACGCCGCCTACCATGACATAAAACCTTAAACATGAAGCGAGGAAAGCAAAGAGAGAAACATATATGTATTCTAAAAGTCAATATGAAATCATTCAGGGTGAACAGCTAGCAATAAAGCTGTCTACCACACGAAAAACTCAGAGAATCAGATCCATAAAGGAACATTATTTCCCTCGGCCTCAAGTTATCGATATAATATCATATACAGTAATAGGTAGGGCGACAATTGAAATTGTATTTTGAACAACTAAAAATTAGGGGTTTGATATTGAAATAACAGAGTTTTTGTTTTCGAACTGATATGTCATTTTCAAGAAGTTGGTAAAGGTATCTATTTTCCATTTTTCTTCTCACTATTACTGATTTGTCACGTTAATAACGGGTTTGGTTGGCAAAAATACTAGTTACAACACCGAAACGTAAAAAATGGCCTTTATGTACTTTATTGCACTTGCATTAAGCGTGGCAAGCGAGCAGATTTCCAGATTTTTCATAAACCATGAAAAGCATAGTTCGTGATATTTCAAAAATATTTCACACAATACGAATAATGTAGATGCAGTATGTACGACACATATTTCATACTCGTGTATTGTGGAGAACATTTTGTATAAGAATTTAAAACAAATATCTGTAACTTAGTATAATGAATATCATGCTGGTTTTTTATGACATATTTTCCAATTATAAAATCCCGCTGTATGCTGTGTCGTGTGCCACGGGGCCGGGTGTATAGAGCGGGTTTCTTAACCACGCACAAATTGCCAGTAAAACTCTCCTTGTCTTGGTGTAGTGTTTGCACTGGGAGAGCGCAACGTTGTGAAGGTAAATACATTTGCCGTGTAGAGGGTAGGGGTTGATCTTAAGGGGAGCTGGCAATCAGTCGCTACTTAACTCTAATCTCATCACCTTACACACAGGCAAACAGTTCCACGTGGATAGTATTTGTTTTCAGAGATCGCTAGACACTGCCCTCTGACCGCCCTATCACACACAGGAATAATGTTGCCCTCAATTATCCAGTCTTTTCTCACTTTCCCTGTGTTCGGTTTAATGAGGCGCGAGGCGTAGCGAAAAAAAATTCCACTAATTCGTGTTAGGGTATATTGTGCCTAAATTGACAGAAATAAATTATAGTCAATTTTGGTAATTTTTTTCACGCTTGTTTCAATGCAATTGAAACGTCTCATACGGGTTCATATTACCCCCATGGAGACGAGGTAGTACGTTGCCTTTATGATGTTAGTGTAACACAGGGCTGAACGTGGGATGTAAACATTACCGTATTGTTAGCAAGTTTGCTGGATAATTTATACAAGTTATCGGCATAATCAAATAAGAACAAGGAAAAAACCACAGATTAAAATACGAAACTGATGCCACTTGAAACTCGGATATTGCGGTGTTGCCTTGCTTCACCACAACCTAAATGCTTTGTAATAACCGAAGACTTCAAATATTAATAATTAAAATAATAACAATATAATTATCACATATTTCATAAGAGGAAAGATATAAATATTCAATGTCGTGAGACAGTTACAATAAGCCCGTGTTATTTGCAAGGCGTTATATAATTAATAGATTGTTTGCAAGTTTTCAGTTATAAAACGTCATGAAAATTGTTTATAATAGTTTGAAAATCTAATATTAATGATGCGGTTTTGTGTAAATCAAAAGAAACGAAATAAATTTAATGTTTTTTTTAATGCCATGGCTTCGATATTATTGTAGGTATTAATGTGATTATTTCTATATGAGAAAGTTTGTGGAACTATATCTTGAGTTTGTACAATGTATAAGTGGTTTTGTGACAAATATGCCTACATGTGACAGATCAGAAGACCTGGCGCCTGTTCATCTAAGACGTCCTGATCACGATCGACAGATCAACACCCTCTACCCTCCGCCATCACTTGACGATGTTTTGATTTTGAAAACCACTTTAACAAGTTTAAGATTAGCCATTGTCTCCCGCTCGACGAGATTGGAAATCAGGTTGTACAGGAACAATTGTTTTAGTAAAAGAACACTCCGTCAGTCCGTGGTAAGGTTCGCTAAGCTTGTCTCCCGGTAGCCGATCGGCGAAATTGTAGCGAGCTCGGGGTCTCGATCGGCGGGACGGTCTTCTAAGCCTCTTACAGTCTCCACTCACCGTCATAATAGCGCGCCCATCGCCTTGTGTTTCATAGCCGCATCGCTCCACTCACCGCTCAAGCCGTCTTCGAAACCCGTGATTGACAGCTCTCGTTACCGGCAACCAATCACAGCGCTTTGGAGGCGGGGCTAGGGTGGTCGGGAGTATGTATTGGTATATTTTGGGGGCCAACTTGGCTGATTTAAGTGGTAGTTTGAGGAACTAAGGACTAGCAGTATACAGGGATAGTGATCGGCGGACAGGCCATATTTATCTCAAAATTACCCCTAATAACACTGAAGTAGACACGATGTTGAACATGGCGGGTGCAATGGACGGTTTGGAGCAAGAAATGGTAGGCAAGTCTGCCTTCATGGAACTACAACAGCAGATGCCTCCATCAATGGGGCACCCAGCGTACCCCATTCGATCTGGCTACCCTCCTCAACATTCGCAGCACGATGTTTTCACATCTCAACCGACCAGACCTCTAGCGTACCCGTTTCCAATGAACAGTATGGCTCCTACTTCATACAACCCTCCCACCAGCCACCCGTTCTCGATGTCACCCTACCAGACCCCTTCGCCTCCCAGAGATGGTGAGTACTGTAACCTTGTAACCGTCTCGTTGTCATCATAACTGTATAAATCGTGTACACCGATCAGACCTGGATGACCCGTATACACGGAACTTCAAGACAATTTGTGTTTCTAAACGCCGTGTTTACATGTCAAGTTTAGGCGAATCGCTACGCAGCACGGCCATTAAAACCCATTATATGTCATCCGTAAATCGGAAAATGATTAAGTAATTATGTTTGTGTCTTAATGATCACGCCAACCTTCTAATAATTACAACAACGTCAAAATAGTACACAACACGACAACCCAGTAGGATGGGAGATTTAGCTCACGGTGTTGCCTTCCGACAATTTACCATAGGGACAACAATAGACACTTAGTATACAATTTCAAAAACTCATGCTAAACTGTTTACAAGGAGGGTGGGTTGTGAGCCAGTACATCGCACTAAATATTTCTAGTCGTGAAAACACGACGAGATTTGACAAGGACCCGCGCTGCATCATGTAAAAGGCATTTCACTTCATGAGGGCCACGACATGCATCAGCGCCAAACAATGGAGAAATATCTACTCCACATGACAATAATATACTAGGGCAATAGGCATTGATTGTTATGAATAAACGATAAAAGGTCGGGTACATATTTTCAGTACAAATGTCGGCACCATTCTCCGTGTCGGTTTCAGCAAAAGATGATTCCGCGCTTTCATGCGAGTCGGGGGATCTTCTATATGTTGTTTTGGTCGATTACTCTGTCTCTGTTACAGCGTGCTGTGTGTTGCGTATCACACGGGCTAATAGTGGCTAAACGTTGAGGAAATGTCTGTTGAAAGGTTCATTACATTGACTCCTCATGTACGCCTTGGTGTCGGGAATATTAAAAATAATAGTTGGAGTGTATTACAGGTGAAATAAATGTGCATGTCTTCCAGAGGTAATTCGAAATTGTCATGTATGTAACTATAGTTGATAGTGCTTGTCCGGGGGGAAATAACGAAAATGTTATTTCAAACATAAAGTGAGAATATCTTTAACCGACAGGAAAGTGATCGAAACATTGTAATGTGTTGCCGATGATTTCTGGTTCAATAATGTTCAATAAGCACCTTGTTGTCCGTCGTGTATACACGGATATCAACTGTAATGTTTAGTCTTCCGGTGAGTAAAAGTTTAGTTAAAATATGAAAATCTCTTCAAATGAAGTGGGAATGAAATAAACCTGTTTCCATCCGTATCAGGCTAGAATAAAATTAATTTAGTGGTACGCTAGAACGAACTATTGTTTAGTTGCTCTCCATTAAATAGAACGAATTGTTAAATGTAGTCTCTCTGTATTTAAAACAACGACTGTATTAAATCAAAAGTAGAGAAACTTCCCGACCAAAAGAAGATATCGCTTGGGAATAGAATGAGATGAAAAACAAATGCGAATGTTATCAAAACGTAACTTGACGGGGAACCGTTGCCGAAACAATCCAAACATTGACCCAAACAACTACAATACCCGTATTAAATACCTGACCCTCAAATAATCACTTCTTGTATGTTTCATACACCATCAGCCACCATATAGGTGTCTGTTTTCATTCACCGGGTGGTTTATATAATTTTGTCGTTCTGATAGAAGAAATACACCATGTAGTGGCTTTGTTGGAAGTAACGAATGACGTATTAAATAAGGAAGTGTGTAGTATTTTCCACACTCCGCAGAATGGCGATAGATGGTGGCATGGTAAGTAAAACAATAAAATAACATCTCCAAAGAAAAGGTTTAATGTCCGAACCGTAACAAATATCGTTTCCATGAAGACACGATATACTGACGAGGTTGTGGCAACATCCAGAACACGAACTCCTTTAAGTCGGACACACAATTCACGCAGTATTGTCCCACGGTATTTCCATGAATAAAATATATGTATCCTCTCCACAGAAAAACCTCAAATGGACGACCAACTGAGAATAAACGGTAAAGGCAAAAAGATGAGGAAGCCTCGCACAATCTACTCCAGTCTCCAGCTGCAGCAGCTAAACCGCCGGTTCCAGCGTACCCAGTACCTGGCCCTACCGGAGAGGGCCGAATTGGCAGCATCCCTCGGGCTGACACAAACACAGGTAAGTCGATCCGTCCCTGCAGCCCTTCTCCCTCGGACCTTCGCTCTGGCGGCCTGCCTGCCCCACAGACACGCTTATATACTTCGACAAAATTGACCAATTTTTGCAAAGGAATCATTTTCTACTGTTAGAGGGGACATTTAACATATTTGATTGGAGCAAAGTATTAGTTTTGTCAACATCAAAATTTGCCTTGATTATACGCAATTTTCTCCAACGCCGAGGCTTAAAATTTCATAATAGTGTGTGATTAGGTGTTTTAGCATTGCCTGCTTAATTTATTTGACAAGACAGCGCACTTAGGGACAACAAATGAGGCTATATTTACGAAATCTTTCATCAACAAATAACAGGCCACGAAACGCCATTGATTTTTGTCTAAATTGTAGTGTTCAAAATAATAACTGGAATAGGAGCGAATTAAACATTATTTTGTGCTATTTCGCGACCGGTCGATACGGAAGTAGCAAGCTAGTTGAAGATCAAACTAACAGTGTTAGACTCAGGTCGAGTCTGAGGGGCCGCGAGATCGCACCTGATGCGTTGCGTCACTGTCAAAGACGGCTATACTTACACTTCACTAGTATTTACGCTACCCTACACAAATACGGCTTGAACCCGCTCGGATTTCATTTGAGGGGTTCTGATTCTATCTCCCAGCCCGGTGTCACATTTAAAGGAAGCACTGACCCCTCGGGTAGGCGTTTGTCACAGATGTACCCTACTACCTCTCATGTGCCGGACTTAGACCGCAGTTGGAATTCCTACCTTGTCAAAAACTGTGGGAAGAAGAAAAAGACAGAAAGTTTTTTGACTGGCGTGAGATGGCATGTCTCGTTTAGTTTCACACTTTCAATCCGGCCTTGGATCTGGGGTACGATAATACACAGGTGATGATTTGGGGGAGGATCAGGTGTACTTTTTGGGGGCGGTTTTGGCAGGAGGGGTGACACATGACTTCAAGTCTCAAATATTTATGTGGGTACATTATTTATTTATTTATTTATTTATTTATTTATTTATTTATTTATTTATTTATTTACAAACAATATTTTTTTAATCGGATACATTTTCAGTTTTTTTTATAACTTCATAATTTCATTGAGAAGTGTACCATTAATCCACAACGGTTTATAATTAAATAGTATGATATTGCGTCTCAAATTCGCAATACTCATTTTCGTCCTTTGTTATTGAAACCTACCCGCCCGAAGTGCCAACGTGGATATAGTAACACCCAGGTGACCCTGGCTCCTTTATTCAGATTAAAGCCATTTTGTGTTTTGATTTCTACTGACATAGTCAATTCAACAGTGTAACCCTACACAGCTAATTGTTAATTTATTATCCCTTTTCCAAACGCCTCAAAGACACTTCTAACACAATTTAATTGTTTTGACGGTGTAGCGTTCAACATTACCGGGCAGAGTATCAAGTTGTACAATCGATAGTCCATGTCTCGCGCATCCCGGACTGTTAATGAAGTGTGTGGAATTCCGGGGAGACGCACAATTGACGTTAATTGTCACGCGGCGACAACTTGCCTTTTTCCAGATTTCTACCTTTTTCGTATAAAAAACAGACCGACATAACTTGATTTTGTGTATTATTCTAAATTAGTACACAAAACAAAATGGTCACACTTGTATAGAATGTTTGGTTATATCAGTAACAAACTGAAGAATTGTAAGTTGAATTTACTGAATATTTTCTGCGGTTGATTTCAACCATATTTTGTAGAAAACCATCCAATTAGTTACGTGTATAGAGAAACTCAATGTCTCAATGACGTCTACAGTTTTAATATCCCATCTGAATATGTTCAAAGATGGCTGTACGCAAGTTAATCATCAACAACCTCGACAGTAAACCTACAAAATAAGCAGACCGAATATGTTTATTAAAATAGTTTGAAAATACTTTTTTTCTTCATACAATTCAAATCACAATACATTCAAGGCTGGTTTTCTTAGTTCGCTGGAGCGAACGAAACAGGATGGCTTTTTCTACAAATAACGCTGTAGATTAGTGTGATAGCATTCTGCAGCGATCTTTACAAACCTTCTGCCAGGTAGGCCGTAGCCATTTCTTTCACATCTACCCAACTAATATATTTAAATATCAACAGCTCAACGTTTGAACCTATGTTTCTGATTTGCAAACAGAAGGCGAAGTCTCGTATTTGTGTTACCATTACTATAAACAGATCGTCGTCCCTTTTCAAACTAATCTACGTTGAGATCAACCAGCTGGTCCATGATCATGCTGGGTAATGGAAAGTTTCTATTATATCATTTCTTTAAGAAATAAAAAGACCTCATTTAACTTCAAATAACACACACACACAAGTATACTTCAATCCGAAACTATAGACTCCTTAACAATACTTCGTCGTCATTCTTTTTTCACTACTTCGTCAGTAACATGTATTGTTTTTAGCCGTTGTTCCAGTTTGAGCCTAATACATTCCTTTCGCAAATAATTATTAAATAATTACACATACAAACATATTAACACACAATAGAAACTCAGTGTAACCAAACGTTTTAGATTGTAATAGAATAGCTTGTCTTCAGTTTGTTGCAAGTTGTCCCTTATTCTACAACACTGGCCCTCGCGTGTCGCCGGCTACTTGGCCAAAATGGACCGTTTCGTTTTTCTTTGATGCTTCAGTGGGAATAGATGCGAAAGCCGCCTCCGGATTTGTACCAGCGTATTTTCCTGAAACGTTGACAGTGTCGGACAACATGGCGGTGGTTCTGCATGCAACCGACAGGTGGTGGGCATTGTGTTGCTGATCAGTGTTTTCTGTTCAATGAAAACAATCAGTTCACTACCGCTTTCCGCTAGCGTTACCCTTTTTAAAGTTTTAAACAACTAACTTTACTTCTTTGTCATAAAACGGATTTTTTTTCTGCAATGACGCACAGTCACGATATATGTGGCCCAGTCTGTGATTCCCGGTCCGGGTATGGCGCTGGGAAACGCACTCGCAACGCAGCGTTACTCTATCGGTCTTGCTGCTGCTACAACAATCATTTGGTCACACTTTGACCGGAAGTTTGAAATATCTATAAATTTGAAAATGTTATCCTTAACATATCTGATAGTTTAACCAATTGAAATTATTTATTTTGTTCTTTATGTTAACATAAAAACAGAATCTACAAATATGCAAATATTTATAAACAAACTTGATCTGTTCCAATAACAAATTGACTTGTTAAAAAGCAAAATGAAAACACCTTGATGTGATGTTCCTGTCAAACATTTCTCTGATTAAATATTCATTGTGTTTGAAGCACACACTGCTAATTCCGATTGGTAATATTTGCAAATCAGATTACATTCAATAAGGAAATCACGAACGTCAGTACTTGATTCTCAGCTTGCCCGCGGGACCGCTGCAAGATATTGCACATGCTTCGGGCCAACAGAATTGATAAATGTTTGGTTTCGTGCTAGCGCCAGTGTACTATTATGGTACCTCGTACTTGACAGTTTGGGAACCGACCTGCCCAGAACATTATCGACATATTTTTTTGATAGACTTGATATGCAATAGTACAGGGAGGGTTGGAAACGCCTTTTTTAATTTAACTGATGTTAGATGAACGTGGACACTTCAGAATATGTTAAGAATGTTGATATATCAGTTGAAAGAAAGTGATAATTTAAGCTAGATCGATAAGGCAGGGCTCAGATCTGTGACGAGAGAACCGCTATCAATAGCGGGTAGATAGAGAATATGTTTGATCAAGTCTGGGAAATTCTTCACATATCAGCAGAGTATTGTCTTTCCCCGGGCCCCCTGCGTCTCTCATTGAGGTGCTGAGTTATTGACAATGCGTCTAGCAGATCAGAGCGCGCACGATCTCAGCTGAGTCGCTAGACACCCCAACACTTGCCACAAGCCATTGTGTAACACTACAACTCAACAAGTGTGCAAATTAGCGGAGATCTTTTGATTACGCTAATCTGGCTAATCGCTATTCTGATTGGCTGATATGTTTTTGTCGGCCGTGTTTGCACGTGAGTTTCGGGCCTTGAGGCGCCGGGACTATGTGATCCTAAGGATAAGAAAAGTAAAACTTTTGATTTCAGCTATTAGAAGCGTGCACGTAAAGGCAGGGCTGGCTACCAGGCAGATATAATCATGACGTTCCGTCTCGAGATACACGGCCTCAAGCGCCACTTTTTGCTTACTACTTCAAAGTACTTGACGACAATAGGGGCCTGGATCAACAAATATACACTGTTCTGTGTACAGGGGTGTTAAATGTACGATACATATCACTACCTGACTATGTCAATAATATATGTTTATATCAATTAGATTCGTGTCATACTTGAAGTTGATTGTAGAAACCAAACGGTTTGAAAGACAGTTTCTGTTTAAAATTGTAAAGCTACATTAAGATATTAAAAGCTAAGTATTTGTTAGATTCAAAAAGAAATTAGACTGAAATGTCTTGTGAATTATTTGAATGTATTTGTAAGGCGCCTGATGTCGACAACAGGGGGTAGGGATTGTGGTGTAGCGAGCGTAGTTCCCGTACCCCTCGAGTATACAAGCAATGCTATGGGTGTCAGAACTCCAATAGGACATGTCACAAGCGCTTCTCGTCACATTTAATAGGATTCATTAGCCAAGCAACCCCCGTCTCCCTCCCCCACACCCGCCTCATGGAGCCAACGGAGTAGATTCAGCCCCTGTGGTGAGGAAAATAGAAATTTGCTTTGGTTCACAGTGGTGGTTTCTGAGGGTCGAAAGGAGTGGGGTATTCCGGAGTATCAATTCAACTTAAACATACCACTGTAAATTTGTCAAAAATATGTTAAATTCATTATTAGAACGGTTCGAGTTGAAGTTTGTTTTAAAATATTACATAAACTGAAATTATTACACGTTTCCCATCTCGAAGATGTTGATGACTGTCTGGACAGGGAGCTGGGCTGCCATCGAATCTCAGAACAATTGCAGGTGGAGAGTTAGTCTTATATTGACAACTCATGCGTGGAATCAAACCTGTGCTTTTGTCCATGATGATTAAGAACATAAGACCCTCGACTAACCTACTGCCTTATTAAGACCTGAGCATATATCGATACCTACGTACGTACCCCCGCGACCACCCGTTTAGAGCCATCATGTCTACATGGGCTGTTAAGATCGTTATAACCTCGGCTTATACATTTGTAAAACGACCTCACTAGCCGCGAAATGTGTTGATGTAGTGAAGTATGAGTGGGAAAGGATGGGACGGCTTTTGAAGACTGATTTTGCTAGTCGAGTTTTCACGGGGGTTAAGATGTGTAATTTGTAAGGTTACCCCTATCATTTGACCATTAAAGTGATGATATTAGATGAAAAGTAATAAACAGACAAGGTTTTCAACTAGCCTACAAAGGGCACCTGACACAAGATGTCACTTTCTGAATGGATAATAATGAGCTTGCGAGTATTTGAAAACATCTGTGAAGCCAAGTAGCAAGCCTCAGTGAATTTTGAACAGGTTTTTATTTGTGCAAGAGAGGAGAATCGTGTTACTAAACTTCTCTAAGATTATCATTATCGTTGATAATGAGGGCTAACACCGCTGGTAAACATCACCGGTAACGTGTTGTGCTGAGGTGGCACTTGACAGTGCGTGACTACCTATATACGTACCTACTGTCAATCGCAACATGCGTACATTAACACTATAGATATCATGTGGAAGAAACCCCCTATACACAGCTTAAACAACAGAAATGTGTACAAGAAGTTGAGGAAGAATTCCTTCATAGCGCTACAGTTAATCTGACGCGGCTTTGAAAACAATCCCGAAACACATTAAACAATATTTACAAGCAGTACCATGTCTGGCCTATATCGAGTAAAGCGTGTTGTGGAAGCCAGATCGATGTCATCGATAGTCAAACTATGTAGTTGTGTAACTCTAGCTGCATGTCACGGTACGGTGGAGGGGGGTAGGGGTGGGGGGTCTGGTGGGGTTTGGAATTTATGATGACCCTCTTGACATGTGTGCTGTGACTTCTCTTCGCCAGCTTTCACTATGTAGGGTTAGTTCCGTCTCGAGCCTGTGCTGGGGCTGATTCACCGATGTTCGCCCGATAGAGCAGTAGGGGTTGGGGGTTGGAGAACGCGGATTCCTACGATGGCTTTGTCCTGGGTATCGACGTCTCCGCGGTCAGGCCGGGTCCTACCCTACCATTATAGGTCTGGGGGTTATTGTGGGGAGATACCCATCCATACAGGTCGCAGGTATTTCGTCTACCCTACTATTACAGGGCTGTGTCATTGTCCACAGATATCAGACACAAAGATATCACTTCCACTCACAAGTCTTGCCGTCCAAAATAAGCCACCTTACCATGTTCACAAGATACAGGTTAACGAGTTTTAGTAAGCTAAACATTGGGGAATCGACCGTTCTGGTCCTGACATATATATAGAACCACAGGAAGGTGTCTTTTGTTTATAGATGTACAACCGATAAGACGTGAAGCAACATCCAGTTCTTTCACATAACTGTTGTAAATATGTTAAGGCATCACAGAATAACTATAGTAACATGTATAGATACATGATCCTGCCGTGTGCTAGTTTACCCGACTTTGTGGAAATAGCTCCACCATGTTTGTCATGATAACTATAGAGCTGACGCGAGCTCGTGAACACCTGATCCGCACTTGAACTGTCCATTGCTGTGCAGGAAACTAAAAACTTGACAATAATCAGATCTATATAATATATCCCAATGTCAGCATGAAACCTATCTCGTCGCCAAGTGATTTTGTTTTGGCCACTCGTAAAGAAGCAGCAAGATGCTAAGCATCTTTACACATTACTGCAGGTTGTGTCAACTTATAAGAAAATATGCATATATCAAACAGTACAATCAGCCAATATGACCGTAGGAATCGTGTTTATTCTCAGAAAGTTTGTATGTTGTTCGAAATTTGGTTTTGTGTCTCAACGGTTGTTGCTTCTCTTCCAGGTGAAGATCTGGTTTCAAAATAGGCGTTCCAAGTACAAGAAGCTGATGAAACAGAACCCGAACTCCACCCCTCCCCAGCCACAGCAGCCACAGCCACAGACATCACCAGTGCCACAGCAACAACCTCAACCCCAGGCCCAACCTCAGCCGGCCGAGCTACCTCCAGCTCAACCCCAAACACCCCAACAGTCAGCAGCCCAAGGTCAAGGTCAAGGTCAACAACCACAGCCCCTACTTCCTGTGTCGTCGTCCATGAGTCCCCAGCCAGTGTGTACCTGGTCTGATTTAAGTAACAATAACCCATCAACGAATTCCTACATGTCCATGTCTCACTACTCCTGGTACGCGCACAACAACATGAACTCCCAACAGTCTCTTCTCACATAACACGCACCTGCAGTATTGGGAGTATTTAATTAGACTATGACCACTATGTAAGTGGGCACTGTATGGGCTGGCCCCTGTCAGGCAGGGGTACACTTGGTGTTGTGACGTCATCTTAGACTTGAATTACGTGGTGTGGGCGGCATGTCATCAGCGTCAGAGAAGACGGTGTGCCTGGGGCAGTGGCACCCTTCCACAATATAGGGAAGGTCACTCATTACTGACAGTATAGACTTTTTCCTGCGCCACCAACAGAAAGGACTCCAGCACAAACTCACACGAATCTCTTGCCACGACAACAAAGATGGCCAACCCATGTGGGTGTAAACCATGTAGTGCCCCCACGGCCAGCATTGTCCTGCTGCAGGCGAGTTAATTGGCCGGAGGGCGGTGGACATGGACGGACAGGACCATTGTGCTCAACTTATCATACCCGGGACGCAAGTGCAAAAACCAAACCCCGACTGGCCTGAACGCCGGGCGGTGCGTTTCAACCCTGACTCTCACCCAAATGGACAAGTCTCATGATCCCTATCTCGTACCCTTTGCTCTGTGACAATAAGGGATGGCTAGGGAACACATCCCCAACAATATAAATGCATTCATCCGGGCACAAGATATTATCTTTAATTTGCTTGGACATCTCAGGGTTCACATCTCCCAAGGCAAGTGGTTTTGCTTTCTATCTGTTGCTAGTGACGGCGACTGTGACACTGTAAGAACGGCGATGTTGTTGGAAGCCGTGTAGCAGATAGGCTAACCCTATGTCTATATATGTAGTGTGTTTTACCTCATAGTGACAGGGAAAGCCGGGCTCGTCTCCGAGCTCTGGGGCTAATCCGTGTATTACTTTTTCCTTTTTTTGTGAGGTGTCTCAAACATATGTTGCGTTCTGTCATTTGCCCGGCGCATTTGATTATAGAAGCTGTTGTGGTTTGGATTTAACTAATGTAAATTATGTACAGTAGATTTTAAACTAATGTGGATTAGAGTCTAGAGTGACATTGGTTCTTGTGTTTTAATATATTGTGTATCTGTCTGTTCGTCCGCTGTCCAGTGACGTTTGAGTGGACATGTGAGAGAGTGCAGGCAAAGCCACATCGCACTGTGCTAAAATAAAAAAATATGAATGAAAATCCTCTAAATCATGTTGTTTTTGACTGTGCATGAAATCGCGAAAGCAGGAATCTGGTGAACGCTATTAATGTGCATGTTGTAGATGTGTTTCTCTGAACCAGGTAAAGGATATGTCGTCATCAGACCGATATCTCCCACTACAATTACGGACTGAGGTTTTAACAAAGTTTGTCTAAGGTTTATGTACAGTATCCACTTGGGGGATATTTACTAACAGTGATTTCACACACATGATTTCCAAATGCCTCTCCACTGTCTTGATAGTGGATTTCACATTGTTGTGTCGCGTTGTTAAAAGGATTTGAACAAACCGACAGTTGATACATTGAATGAAATGAATGAATATATGCGTCTATCTGACGTACATTCACAAGCGCATATATTCGCAAATCATTTAACAAACATTCGAGCAAGAACTTTTCTTTTCTTGGTAGTGGATAATAACTGTATTAAAGCATTACATTAATATAAATACATCATTATTACACAGCCTTAAACTGGAAGGTGGTCTAGTTAATATAACCTGCAATTTGGTTTGTCCATCAACATAATGTTGATATATCATTCAGTAAGTTAGGATTCAGTCATTAGTTACATGTACAATCTACTCAACAATCACGACACTAGAATCAGTCCCCGCAGTTCCCAGTACTGCTTACCCCACAATGTTGAAAGTTTAAAAGTAGTTGCGCATGTTTAAGGAATAAGCCAAACTAGCAAATTTAAACGAGCTCTTACTTACTTGTCTATTTTGCAAACATCAGTTTTATTTAGAAATACTTAATACGAGCAACTAAATATGTGAATTACATATCACGTTTTATTTGTAAAACTTGTATTTTGTATTTCTTAGATGTATTTAAGCATGTATTAAAAATAATGAAGGGGATTCAGTAAATGAGATAGAACAAGTGATAAAGTAAATACCTTTGTTTTTACTTATAGTGGAATTCTGAAACAAACCCGAAGTATATACGGTTCTTTATATTTACTTAGTTTAGAGGAGATTTTTTCTGGATGTGGAAAGGGTTTTGTCGCTTCTATTTAAGAAAAGTGGTAAACAGAATGATTGCCAAAAGGGGACGTTACCAGAAAAGAAACTCCGGCTTTGATATGCAATTACATATGTTTGCTTCAATACTTACGGAGAGCATTGCATGCCCGGCTGACAGCTCTCATGCAGTTGTTAAATATCAGCAGAAACATATGTATTTAGGTAAATGCTACTTGATCTGTGACATTGGTAAACAAAACATCGTAGCAATAAACGAGTGTAGAACGCCATAACAGCATATTTTACTGACATTCTGCCGAATTACATTATCTTTAGAGTATTTCTCTCCTATGACCTTCATAAGATTGTGTGGAACCATATTGCTAGCGGGGTAGACACTGTATATTGCTGTACAAATATATATCTGTATATACAGGGATTGTTGAATATTGCTATTCTATAGGGCGATGTTGAAAGAATGTTAGAATAATGCTTTTATTTGATGTTGCGGAAAGACGTTTTGAGTAATGCTTTTCTGTGTAGCGTTCAAAAGTATCAAGAGGGGAAAGATTATTGCTGTTATTGCTATATTATATGTAGTTATGGACAGAAAGGAAGGGCTATTGCTTGGTTATATTTTGGTAAATACAACGATGAATTAATATGGTATGTTACGAGACGTTGCTGGTGTATGTGATGGTGTGGAGAGTGGGTACGGAATATTGCCAAACTGTTGTGATTGCGCCAGAATTTAAGGAATATTGCCAAACTGTTGTGATTGTGCCAGAATTTAAGGAATATTGTCAAACGTTTGTAATTGTGGCCAGAATTTAAGGAATATTGCTAAACTGTTGTAATTGCGGCCAGAATTTAAGGAATATTGCTAAACTATTGTAATTGTGTCCAAACGTTTAGACGTATTGCCAAACTGTTGTAATTGTAGCCAGAATTTAAGGAATATTGCTAAGCTGTTGAAAATATGTTCAAGGGTTCAGAAGTATTGCCAAACTATTGTAATTGTGGCCAGAATTTAAGGAATATTGCTTAGCTGTTGAAAATATGTTCAAGGGTTCAGAAGTATTGCCAAACTGTTGTAAGTGTGGCCAGAATTTAAGGAATATTGCTAAGCTGTTGAAAATATGTTCAAGGGTTCAGAAGTATTGCCAAACTATTGTAATTGTGGCCAGAATTTAAGGAATATTGCTCAACTATTGTAGTTGTGTCCAAACGTTTAGAAGTATTGCCAAACTGTTGTAAGTGTGGCCAGAATTTAAGGAATATTGCTAAGCTGTTGAAAATATGTTCAAGGGTTCAGAAGTATTGCCAAACTATTGTAATTGTGGCCAGAATTTAAGGAATATTGCTCAACTATTGTAGTTGTGTCCAAACGTTTAGAAGTATTGCCAAACTGTTGTAAGTGTGGCCAGAATTTAAGGAATATTGCTAAGCTGTTGAAAATATGTTCAAGGGTTCAGAAGTATTGCCAAACTGTTGTAAGTGTGGCCAGAATTTTAGAAATATTGCTAAACTGTTGAAATTGTGTTCAAAGGTTTAGACGTATTGCCAAACTGTTGTCAATGTGGCCAGAAGTTAAGGAACATTGTTGAAATATACGGCGGTGTGGACAGAGATTGTGAAACATATACGAATTATCGAAGGTTGTTTATCCTTCTCGAAAAACATGGAAAGATTGGAAAGAAATTTCTATAATTAACCAACACATTCTTTGCCAAATGCATAGCTTCTGATGTGTTGTAATATATCTGTACTTGTGGTTTGCCATTTCCTAGGGTAATATCCAAACTCTAAAACTCTTGTAACACAACAAGATCGCGTATTATGAGGAAGGGGTTAGTTTGAATGAAGAATTCAATGATTTTTCACTATTAAGATTCCTTTCTGAGAGATATCTTCATTGATATACAATCATGTGTTGTGATTAACCTCGAGAAACACAGAGTGTGATCTTTTTCAGTTAAATACCTTATCAAAAGGAGTACGTCCGTGTTTGCTGAATATGTATGAGTTTCATATGAAACAGGAAATGAATCCTTAACGCATTTCTGGATACAAACTAATATGTATGATCACAAGAATTCCTCTTCTCGTCGAGGTAGACGCTGATCTTACTTTGGAAACAACTTTGATTGGATTCACAAACACTTGCTCATGATGAAGTTTGATTTGTGCAATCGAGTCTGCTTTTAGCAGAATGTTCTCGTGAATATGGAACGGGGTTTCTCGTTCTTATTTGCCAGTATAATCAACTTATGATAACTGATCTATACCCGGACTGCGTTAACACGACCTTCTGATGGTGAAGCAAACCAAAGATTCTGCATGATTTATCCCGTTTATTATGTAAGTTGTATGCAATGGGTCGGCTGTAGATGCTAGAGGGAAACCCTTTCAAACTCGTCAACTATCAAACTGTCCTGACACATGCAAATGAACATTTTGACGATCAATCTTTATCTCTGTTAATGTGTTTTGATGAAGCTATTCTGAGATTTCTGTCACGCTGACTCCCAGAATAATGGATTTGACAAGACGAGGTGATTCCTCAAAGTTGCCCATTCCGTGAGCGCTCTCTTTCATCTCCTGGTCTCTCCGCCACATCGCCAGTTATGTCAGAAAACTCAACTCAGGGTCGATGAGAAGCACATCATTTGTCTTTCTGAATCCAGGGCCAAGCTATAGGAAAAAAGGACATTTTGTGATATTTGGCAATTATTATACGTTAGGAACGGAGAGGTAAAATTATCTGCCGGATACTTGGCTAAATTAGCTGCTGGATCGATTGGAAATTGCTACCTTACTATGCAAGACCCTTCCATAGGCTCTTGATTGGCTCGCGCAGGCAAACATGACTTAAAACAGACGGCATAGCGATTGTGATTCATTATTCCAGCCATGAGGTTTTAACTTTCAGTGCGCCGAGGCTTCGATTTTGCAGTAAATTATACTTAATGACTTTATAACTGAACACGGCGCATCATATATCTGCGATGGGCCTCTTAAAGCCCAGGCTACACTAGCGTGTAAATGGCGGCAGATAATAGAGGATAATTAGATTTGCAAACATGGCTGACGGGACAAACACGTAGCCGGTTCAAAGGAATCTCTCAATGTTTAATCTCTGCATTGAGCAAATATCAAAGCTTGGAATCTTCAATCTGGTTGTGATTGTTGAGAAAGTTTCCATGTTCCACGCTGGAATCACGCAATGGTCACCAACAGCTGACCGCTATCGGTTGAACACTTGGACAAAGCTTATTGAAAGTGAATGGTTTGGAGGCTGTTTGCTGCTGCTCAAAAACGCCGTTGTAAAATAGTCGTTAATACCTCATTTCGGTAGCCTCATAATCGAGGTGGAAGGAACAAGGAAGCATACGTGTTGTCATATTCCTGAAATATATACTTTTGAAATTATAAACAATAGGTCTAGGCTGATATACGTTTCACACATTTAACATATATTATCTAGCATCAGAATTACCAGCACAACCTGTAGAACTGTACTTTTCTCACGAGAGAATCTCCGGGTGCAAATCTTCATTTTAAACGAACAAAAAAACTTTCCATATTCACAAGAAATCTCCACAACCACTACATCTGCAAATGTCACATTTATCTTTTCCTTGTCAAATGAAAGAAAGGACAATATCATGTTGACTACTTTTGTATAATTAACGAAATTAATGTTCGGAAATCGTTATATAAATTATCATACATTTTCATGAATTAGGATATAAGACGTACTGTTTGCATCAGAGTAAATCATTGCTTAAATCATTCTAATACGTTGGTTTAGATTATGTTGATTTTTGATATTTTTGTGGTTTGTTTGTTTTAGACATCTTTTCTATTTTAAATGCATAATAAAATGTTTAATATTTTGGAAATAAGGAAATTCACACATTTTTATAAATAATTTTCTTCGCGAAGTTCAGTTATCTTTGAGCTTTTCCTGTTCGCCTATTTTAACAATAATCCTGTAATTTT